CCATATTTGATCATAACTCTAATATAATTGAGCATATATGGCCATATTTGAACATAACTCTAATATAATTGAGCATATATGGCCATATTTAATCATAACTCTAATATAATTGAGCATATATGGCCATATTTAATCATAACTCTAATATAATTGAGCATATATGGCCATATTTGAACATAAATCTAATATAATTGAGCAAATATGGCCATATTTGTATGTCTAATGGTTAAAAAAATATGAAATATGTTTATATAAGTGAGATCTTAATATGAACTTGCATGTCTTGAGTGTAATTTGCATTCATTTTCATGTATTCTATATTTCTAAGAGGTTTATTTTTTCAGTCATGTATTTTGAAGGTACAGTTTCTGACATTTATTTATCTTCAAATCATTCCAAACCTACTTGAGTTTCTTTCTTCAGCTGGATTTTATAGAATAATGTTGAACACTCTACATCTATAGTGAAAAAAGGACAACAGAGCGGATGTCAATAGCTTCTCGTTAATAACATCCTCCAGAAAAAATCTAAATTGAGTAAATGATGACAGAATTTGACCATTTTGAAACTTTCTCTTCAATATCTGTGGGTTTCTAACATTGAAGAAGAGGAGAGCTCCATCTTCATCAGTGTAAGAGGGCGTGTCTGTTCTGATGCCCACAGCAGGGGCGTGTCCTCATGAATATTCATCCTCCTCCTCCGGCTGTGATTGGCAGATGACAGAGAGCCTGTAAATGTCACTGAGTCAGTGTTTGAGGGCTTGATTGTGTTCGTCTGCTGGATTTAGACTCAAGACCTTTGCTGATCGACAGGGATTAAATACCACAACCTTTATTCCTCTCACACTTCACACAATGCAGACTGATTCAGAGGAATACAGAGGAAAACAGCAGAATCGGGGATGTGGAGCTCATCAAGTCCTGTATGAGACATGCTCAGAGATTACTCACATCTCTCCTGTGTCATCTGTAGTTTTAAATCCCACATCATCTGTCTGTCTTTTATTGAAACGTGTCGACTTCATCCATCTTTGTTGCTTTATATGTCAGTGATGACAGATCAGCTCAAGCAGAACAGAAGACTCCATATCTCCTGAGATCGCGCTTCATTAAATGTCTTAGTAAGTCTTCATCATGTATGGCTGATTGTAGAATTGTAAGTATAGACTGCTGTAAACTATACTGTCCTTGGCAGGAAAGTCTTGCACTGTACATTTGTGTCTCTAAGATCAACAGTTTTGAATAATAACACAAATTATTTCTAGATTTCTCCAGATATGTGTCTTGAAGGACATTTGTGTTAAGATATGACCTTAAAGACTCCAGCTGTGCCTGCTTTTGGTCGTCTCTCCCTCCTGAATCATGCATACAGCTTCAATAATCATCAAATCCCTTCCATCTGTGTGTGTGTGTGTGTGTGTGTGTGTGTGTGTGTGTGTTTACTCTACTCAGTTAAATACACTCCACCATGAAACATCTTTTCTTTGTATTATTATTCATTCTTTCATTTTCTTCAGCTTAGTCCCTTATTTATTATGAGTCGCCACAGTGCAATGAACTGCTGACTATTACAGCAAGTTTTACATAGCGGATGCCCTTCCAGCTGCAACCCAGTACTGGGAAACACCCATACACTCTCATTCACACACACACTACAGGTGATTTAGTTGATCAGTTCCCCTATAGCGCATGTGTTTGGACTGTGGGGGAAACCGGAGCACACGGAGGAAACCCACACCAACACGGGGAGAACATGCAAACTCCACACAGAAACACCAACTGAC